GGGTTTAAACCAGATGGCTGTCACAGTCTCTTCCAACCTGAATTGTTTGATGATTCTATGATCATTCCCAATGAAACAACAGAACATAACCGATAACAAAGAACAAACTGAAACACTAAATTTCATTTATGGATGATTTAGAAAACTAAATTGCATTTTCTTGACCAAATGAAACCCAGCAGTGTAAAAGGACAAAGCTTCTCATAATACTTAGAACGACAGATTCATTTTGTATCTAAACAGGCTCTATTTTACTTAGGATGCCTGCATCAAAGTCTGTCTGGTTATATTACATTAGTTATATAAGATTAAAAGAAAAAAAATAAAATAAAAACTTGCCAAGTTGACATATGTCTAGAAATGAAATTCTCCAAAAATAGTCAGAGAAGATTTCAAAAAGCATTTTGAAGAAAACAAATATACTAACGAGTCTACTTTACATCCTCTTGTAATTAAAACTGGCAATTATTTGTGCAAAATCCAGTACAAATAACAAAAAAATCCAGAGTCTTAATAGATTTTGCATTTGTAGTATTGCCATTGGAATCATCATATCTAGGCAGCTACCATTTATAAACTAACACATTTCACTGTACAGGTGAAGCTGTGATGTGTAAGCTAACACGTCACTAGCTACAAATGGTTTCTAAGCAATATGAACTAGCACGGGAAATTTCACTAATAAATACTAAATATTGCAGTTTTTCAAGTGATCAAAGCTTAACAGCCCCAGCAATTTATTTTGTTGGTTCAGATTTTGCTTTTCCTTGCTTTACATGGTATTGCCTGTAGCATGCTGGGCATCAGTAAGCAAGGTGCTGTGCAAGAAATAAAAGAATTTCAGATTCTATGAGAAGAACCAAGTCATATCAGCAATTACAGTGCAAAGCACAAAATAAATTACCCTCTGTAACAAAAGCAAGAGCTGCCTCACACAATCTGAACCTAATTCTTTGGTCATGAAAGCAATTATGAAACTCCTGTAATAAGTCTTGCATATTGAAAAAGTATCAGAGCATTATCATAGAGGAAAAAACTCTGAAGCTCTTCACAATAGCTGTGTAGCTATTTAAACCTCTGTTAAGAGCTAGTCCTTTTAGAGAGTTTACAAACAAGTATTCAGACAATTCAAGAATCAGATAAGCAAACAAGAATGCTTAGTAAGATGTACCCTTAATAATAATAATAGATAATGTGTTTATCTAAGAACTGTACTGATATAATTAATAACAGAAGCAGAGACCCACAATAGCTGCTGCCTGCATGTCAATAAAGTCTTGTTTAGAGACAAAAGCAGAATACATTGCTCAATCCTGCAGTTGTTATGCTTAACAAACAAAAACTTGGGGTTTGTGTCTTTTTTTGTGTTTTTGCTGGGTTTGAGGGGGTTTGTTATAGTTTGTTGGTTTTTTTTTTTAATTCTACAGAATTGTAGAATTAAACTGACATTCTACAGCATACTCATATTTCTCAAAGCAGCACAGCACCAGCATCCATTTCGAAACAGCTTCAAATTGAATTAAAAGACCTTTAAAAAAGAAAACCAAAACCATAAAATCACATACTATACCACAGCTACATTTCACTAAGATTAAGAGCAAGAATGTCTGGCGGGAAATTCTACTTTAAAACAAATGAGAATTAAAATCTCCAAAGCCAGATTCACAATGGTTAGCAGCACAACTCAGGCAACCATATCTCTTTTTGCTTCCTTTCTCTGTGAGCAAAACCACTATGGACAACACTTACTTTGCCCTTCACTAGGGCTGTGAGAATTGATATCAAATAAGAAAAGTTCCAGTTTGTGGATATCACTGCTATGGTATTCATTGCTCAGAACTGTTAGGTCCCATCTTTTCATTTACCCATCCAAAATTAAAGATGAAGCTTACAATGAGCTAGTTTTTAAACACTGACATTTTTACCCAACCATCTTGCCTTTTTTTAAATGCCATCTAGTAAAGAATTTCAAAGGGCTCTGCTTCTTTAATGAGGCATTAAAATACAGTCATACGACAAAAAAGCAACTCTAAAGTCTCTTAAACCCCTGGACTTACATTATCAGCTTTTATGTGCCTGTCAACACTCAACAGCAAGAAGCAATGGTTTGCTCTTTGCCTCGAATTTAAAAGCCAGCTAAACTTCCTCTCACTTTCCTGCTGAGAGCTTTAACTCCTTGCAAACTGTCAAAGCTTTGACACTTCAGCAGCAGGTAAATCTAAGACATGATGCAACAGCCAGGTGTACTTTCAGTCAGGCACCGGCCACTAATTTACTAGTGGCTATTTAATTCACCACAAAAACCAATAAACTAGAAATACTTTCCCCCACTCCTCTGCATACCCATATTGCTTGCAGATCAGCCCTTTTAAATAGATATTAGCCCTGTCAAAGAACTAGGCACAGTTAACTTTCAACTTGAAAGAAGTGAAACATTTAAAATTGAAGAGATATAACGTATGGCTAAAATGCAAATGCATTTCCAATCCAGAAGCTAACATAATAGTGCAGCATTTTTCAAGAAAAGTATGTGCAAAGTGTTAAATACTGGAACTCCTTTAACCAGAAAATTTCTCTGAATATCCACAGCCTGGATGTGGCATTCAGTGTAAAAGTTCATTGACATAAAGCCCATTATTAATTCATTTTACAAAGGTGCCAAGCTAAGTGCAGCTGTGGAAGAACAAGATTTGAACAATTTGCTTAGTAGAAAATGTGAATTTCACAGCTGAGAAGCCCTATATTCTGTTTGGTATAAGCTAAAATATTTACACCATTATTTTACTGTACAGAAAAACAATGACTGCACAGATAAGCCATGCTTTCTTTACCAAAAAAAAAAAAAAAGAGATACAGACTTAAAATGAGACCCTTGAGATACTACACTTAGCAGCAGTATACTGAAAAATGATCCTTTCCCTTTTCTTCTGTTCTTTTCACACTGTAATTCCACAGTATACAAAACCTCTATTTAAGTCTCCTAACCTTGATAAGGACTTGATCCCACTCTCATTCAAGTGAATGGGAAAAGATCTCATAATTAACTTCAAAGATGCATGACTAAGGCACTGAGTGCCAAAGCTACAGGACAGTATTTTAATAATTTATTTATGAAAATATTAGGGTTTTTTTAATTATACTATTTTTTTAATTTTCAAAAAGCTTTTTTTTTTTCTTGTGATAGGAAAAAAGATAGCTTTGTCTAAAGATCAACTATTTCTGCTGAGAATGCACAACCCTGAGACAGCTCTCCCACCTTCCTCACTCCAGGCATTTGCTGAGGTGGTAGCCACAAGGTACTATACAGAAGTTACAAATACATTTATGCTTTCAAAGGGGAAGATGAAGGAATTGAAAGAAAGCTATCTGAGGTTCTGCCAATGTTGGCTTGTCTCCTTTTTCAAATACCTTAAATACAGCCTGGCATGGGATTTTCTCTCATCACTAGAAGGACTTCAAATGTCAAACAAATCCTTTGACTCACTGGGTCAAACCCCAAGGGAAGCACTTGACAGCAGGAAATATATGAACAAGAATGCCAAGAGTTAAAAAGTTAAGTCGGGCTGATTCAGCAGTCAGATCAAATGACTACAGTTCTTCTGAGATTATTAATGAGTACTGCAAACAACCAGAGGCTCTGACGCAGACAAGAACCTGCACATCACAGGCATTCCAGGAACCCTAGCTTGTCTTCTCTGGAACAAAACCTTAGCAAAATGCACACTCCCTCCTGCTTTAAAAGCATGGCATCTCTCACTGCCTCTCTGTCCACATATACAAGACTGTAGGGCACAAAATACTTCCTTCATCAAGGTCATGATCTGCAGAAATTTTTCCTGAAATTCTTGCATATCTTTTAGCATCTGTGGTAGCTTTTAAAACATTGCACACAAAAAGTCTGTCTTTCACAATCTCAATAGACAACCAAAATAATGAAAAAACAAAACAGACACAAGAAGAGACAGCAAGTCTCACCTGCTGCAACTTCAAATACAGATTTTTTGAGACAGTGGAATGAATACAATGATGCCTCAAGCAATGGTAACAGAACCTTGTTAGTTCAAATGGAAAGGGAAGGACTTTTTTAACTGAGCATAAAACATGGGTGGGGAATACTGGGAAAAGACAATGGATGTGTAAACCATACATTTCAAAAAGACAGAGTCAATCCATCTGATTTTCATTTTACTTAAAACTGTTTAATAACCAATTAATAAAACTTGATACATAGGGATAACCACGTCCAAATGTAGACTAGAAATAGCAATTTTATACAGTATAGGTACTTAACAAAAAAATCGCCCATACTTTTTGAAGAGCAAACTCAATAGCAGAAGTTATTACAAACCGCTAATTTCTGATTTTCCAGATAGAATGGCAAGTGGTAGATATTCCTACAGATATCAAAAGCCGTTTCTAGGTTATCTAGAAATAAACAATCTCCCTAATAAAGTTTATAAGTGGCCTATTTTTTATGTTATCAGTGCAAACACCACATTTCCAATGCAAGTTGAATTGGGGGGGGAGGGGTTTGAGCAGCAAGGGGACATGTAATAAAGAAATTATTACTGTAAAATCTCACAGAATAAAGTTTTAAGCCTTAAAATTCAGCCATCTTGAAATATAGCCAATTTAAACAAAAAATAATTCAGGATAATTTCAGACCCAACATTCACCCAAGTCTTCTGGAAACTTTCCTGTGGTTTTACAATCATTTCCTATAGTCACCTTTCATTGCTCTTCTGAAGACCTGCACAAGCATGTTGGGGAAGAGAAAAAGAAAAGTGACCAGGTCTCCAGAGTAAACCATGATGATTACCATGACCTTGGCTTCATACTGTGCACACATAAATGATTAAAAGAATTCAGACATAAAACTGCTTGGCACTAGTGTAGTTCCACTGCCAATCACTGCATCTCCTACAGTAAATAGAAGGTGAAATAGTTTGGCATAGGTATGGATTTTTACATTAGGAATGTATATTTAAGAACAGTCTTACCAAAAGTAACTTCTCCTTTTCCAGTCTTGTCAAACAGCTGAAAGGCTACTATGAACAATGCATCTGGAGCACACAGGACTGATTCAAATGCCACAAACTCTTGAAAGGATATCAACCTAAGAGATGAAGTAAAAAGCAAGAGCTATGAAACCACTTGCTTGCAGAATACTGAAATACAACATAACGTACATTATACAAAAGAAATAAGATCACAAAGTGTGTAAAAAATGTTATCAATCGGGATTAAAATGTAACCTAAAATGCCCTCTCCTCAAGGAGGTCTGCATATCACTAGACAGAAATGTCTGTTAGACAAGGAACTATTACTTTCAGCAAGTCACAACAAAACACAAAATAAGCAAAACACTCAGTGTGGCTACTCACCTCAGCTTTAATGTCTAACTGAACTGCCCTCTGGGGGAGCCTACCTCTCTCCACTGCTAAGACAGAGGTAATCAAGACATGAGTAACTTCCCTCAAGACTCAGTACTTAGGGCTTTCAGAAAGCAAATCCATTCAAGATCTACATGCTGCCACTCACTTCAGAAGCAACCGATCAGAATACGTTATCTGTTTGCTAGCAACTTATTAGTCATCCATCACAGCCCTCCAGTCCTGCGTGTTGAATCATTAATTTCAAGTAGTAGTCTGCATGTTCTTCTTTAGCCCAAGAGCAGTTTATTCAAATTCATCATTACAGTCAGGTTCCCTGTATGCAAGCGCAGTAGCAGAGCACAGATAAAAGCAGAGATGCCCTTCCTTAAGTTAGTTCATAAGCAGAAATACTTAATTAGACAACCTGGCATTGTCTCCAGCAGTAGATTTGAAACAGCAAAGACCTTGAGCTGTTCTAATTTCCTTGGGTCACACCCAAGAGTTCAAACGGAGATCAGACTCCTACTCTTAAAGAGGCAAAGGCCAACCGTTCTTCTGTTTTGCTACTTCTTTAATGTCTAGGTTGTACAGTTAAAAATCATCTTCAAATGTGTGCTGGCAGTCTGGGAGACTTAAGATTAGCCTCTCTCAGGCTGCTGTATGTCAGTGTAGCCAGCGTGTAGCTTTAATGGGTTCACATGGCAGCACCTGGAGAACAAAGATTTATTTCTGAGAAGCACAAAATTTAGTGTACCAAATGTCAATAAACACACACAAAAAAACATTTTTTAAAAAATTCTATTAGAAACTAACTGTCTAATAGAAACTGATAGTTTCTATTAGAAACTATCCTTAGGACTTTGACTCAAAACAATACTGCAGCCAGTTAAATGAAAACTTATACTCAGTGTGCAATGCAGTAACAGTGAAGAACTGAGTGCTTCAACAGGTTGCAAAAGACATTCATTCCAAGTTATGATGACCCATGACTATACAGCAATTTCCAGTCACCCTGTCTTAAAGGAATTAATTTCAAGTCACACAGAAGTGTGCTTGCTGCATGTCAGCAGCCAAATATGCACTGGGTAAGAGAAGCTGACTTCCATGAGGAACGTAAAAACATGAGAAGATGAACAAAAGAGGACATTTTTTTAAAAGCACAGCACAGAGAAGGTCTAAAAGCTGTTCTACATTACCTCCCTCAATATATATGCAATAAACAAAAGTAAAAGAAATGTAGAGTATGACACAATTTAACAATTATCTCTGAGAACTTGCCACCGTAGGTTATTATGTAGTGTGAGAAGTAAATAAAAAGAAACCTCCTCAGGTACTCTTAAGATTAAGCTCACAATTGATGATGCCAGCAAACACATAAGCACACCTTAGGCTTTACTGGCAAAGAAGCGAGTGAGTTATTACATATGCATATTTTAGCACAGGGGAAGCCATCGAGTAGCTTACTTTAAACTCCTCGGGAGCTCTCAGTACTCCTCACTGTTAGACACAGAATACACAGATACTCAGCCCTTAAAAGGAAGAAAACTTCCATCTTTTCTAAACCAAAAGAATTTTTTTCAAAAGTAACATTTCATTCAATTTTAATCCAATATATCACAACCTATGCGCAAATACGCATTTACACATATTTACTGTTACAATGTGACTTACCGTCTACAAAGGGCCATTATTATTCATTTTTATTGACTACATACCTGACAGAACAGTAAACAGATGCAAAGCACTGAGTTCTGTCCCAAAGATTATAATGCACACACAGAGAAAGAACAGAACAGACAGCAGGTGACAAGAATCTAGAACAGGATTGTTTAGAATTATAAATGTCAAATCTTTGCCAACACCATTACAGTAAAGCCTTTTTCTGTGTGAAACAACAACTAGCACATGTCCCTACCAGGGGATCCCAATACAGTGATGAGATCACAGAAAAGAGATACACTACTTATACCAGTAGAATCCCACCATCATGCTAAGAACATATTCTATGCTACTAGGCCTGGATTTGATTAAAACTCAATGTATTAACACTGCTACAAGATTTTATACTGGTAGAAGCACTCTTTTTCAGTACTTGGAAGCAATAATCCCCATATCAAGTCACAGATAGATGCCTAAAATAACTCTTTATCCATTTTTTAAAAGAGTTATTCACAGTACCAGGAAGATTAAAAGTGTACAAATTGTGTGGCTCTAGCCAGACTGTTAAAGAAGAGACATTAATATCTGCTGTGCCAGCTGAATTCAAATTAACCCAATTTTTACATGTTAATTAAACCAGCTATTTTCTTCTTATTGTATTTTTGCTCCCTAAGTAGACTAGCCTGCTAGTGATTCCCAACAGATCTATTCTAACAACGACGTATTCATTTACTTCTATTATGACCATACAATACAGTAACTGAGCAGTAATTTTTCACAGTCAATTACACGTGTGATTCTTAATGCTTAAAGATGCTGAAATAATGTGTACTACATAGCCATATGCTCACTTCTCTATACTGCACAAGGGTAGTTGCCTGGGTAACACATTTTCTCTCTAGTTTAGCATCACCCTTTTGGGTTTACCATAGCCCTTCACTGAATAACATTAGGTGTCATTAAACAGCACATATTAACATGGACTTCAATATACTACTTAAGAGTTATTTTATCTACCTAAACAAGTACTCATTTATGTTACAAAAGCAGAGAAAAACCCAGTGATTTTAACAGCACAAAGAGAGGAAGCTGAAATGTTTATGAAATTTTATTTCAGTTTTGAGGATATTCTACCCAAATGGTCAAAGTCTTCCTTCACTTTCTCACTATCAGTGTCAATACTGCATGATTTATTCAGGAAGGCTCATATCTTGAAATTTTAAAAGCATCTACACACAAGAGCTACAGTCCAAACACAACAACTGGGTATGGTACAGCAAACCCACTATTTAATGCTCTCTCCTTTCTTCCATGCTGCTTCTTTTGATGCTCACACCCATGACATCTGGACACCACATAGACATGATGCACTGCCATCAGAGAAAGTCTGTATATAGCCATGCAAAGAAAAAAAGCCATTACCCACTGTAATAATACATACAAATGCAATGGTGAAGAGATTTCTTCAGAAATCAATGCATATGTTTTTACTGTATCAGCAATTTAAACACGGTAACATAATGTGACACAAATTGAAGCTACATCTATTATTTTACACTGCAAACTAGGTAAACTAAGTATAGTGCAAATTGGTGCATTAGAGGATAAATTTATACCCAATAATAATGGAAATGCTGGCATTTCCAAGTGTTATTTTTGAATACTTTGTCCTTTCTAAAAATAAAGCAATGGTATTTCTCAGTAAAGTGTTAGTTACTACAGTCCAAACAGAGACATGCAGTAAATACTTATTTTGTTAGAAAGATGTTTAAAAGTAAAACAAAAAATTGAAAAACAATGTTACAGTAGGCAGGATGGAAAATGCCTGGCCTGCTGCTGATGGGCCTTGAGAAAGCCACTATATTCTGGGTGAATTCCTGATCCAGTTGAAGCCAAATAAAGCATATTTTTTAACTAAGATTAGCAATGAGAGGCTTTAGGCCAGGAACCAGTCAAGGCTATTCAGTTTGTTCCATACGAACAACAACCATGCAATATAACATTTAAAAAAACTCTGTTATTATCAATCAACTACTTTGAAAGGTTCGTCTGGCCATCGGCAAGGCAACTATTTCCTTCTATTAGAGGAAACCTTAAAAACATGCCTCCAGAAGAGAACAGCAGGAAAGCCTACCTCCAAATAAACCTCTGCCCTGACTGAAGATGGAGGCAAAACTTGCTCCCATGGCAACAGATATTCACTGAATTACAGAATATGCTTTAAGAGGTCTTGTACCTTTGTCACAACAACAGCAGCTCCTGCAGACATCCTCAAATCCTTAATCTCTGGCAATGCAGGAATTGTGCTAAAGCTACATGAGATTTTGTCTACAATACACTGTGGGATTGTATGTAAGAGCTGCTGTTCTTTCCACTCTACACTCAGAACTTCTTCAGCTATGGGGTAAGCAATTCTTTGCCTATTTATATGCTCTGCTCATGAGTCAGAAGCTGTTGAGCTGTCTGTCTTTCACCCATGCGACTTACCAAGTTTAGTATTTCACAGTGATTACACTTGGTACCTATACCTACCTTCTTACCAAAACCATAAGAAATTGAAAAGTATTCTAAAGAGTGAGAGGAACAGCCCTTGTGATCGTGGCTCAGACCCTTTTAGTGACAAGCAGTCACACTCACCAGTCATGAACAACAGCTGCTTCTTCAGAGCAAACCAGGGATACAAGACAGTGGATAAAATGCTTCTAGAAATATCCTAGCAGTATTCTCAGAACTGAACTACTTTTAGCCACTAACACTGTAAAAAAATTAACTTGTCATTGCTCTTGCAAGATACCTTCTATTTTATAATAGAAATAAAGCTAAATTACTGAACATACTCTCATGACCTTAAATACATGTAAGTCTCTGAACACTGACAAGCCTTTTAAAAACAAACACTAACAAAAGCAGTTTTGGGCTTCACTTTAAAAACTGGGAGCTCTGGTCTGCCAAGTTGGAAAGTATTCAAAAGAAGAAGACCAATAGGTCCTGTTTCCACCTCTAGGAGATTTCATGCCAGGAACCAAAAAGCAACTGGCCCTTGGCTCAGATGATCACTCTGCCAATAACATTACACACCACAAGAACAAGCTGAAAAATGCTAGATTAGAGAGATGGACGCCAATCACTTTCTGAACTTTCTCCATTCTTTCACATATTAGTGTAGCAGCTAAATAAAAAGACAGCCTAAACACCAGAAGAGACTCTCCAAAGACACATTAGAAACATGCAGTCCCCTGTCACTGCACAGTGTGGATTACAGAAACAATCCTTGCCCATGGCAGAAAACAGCAATTAGAAGCCTCAATACTACACCACAAAACTCCCACAAGATCATGCCAAGTTATGAAATCCCAACTTGTCAACAAGTTCACATAGGCTAAAGTTTTACATTTTGTTCTTCCTGACACCAGCTTCTGTTTGTGAGGGATATCCAAATCACAAGGTATGGATTATGCTCTCAATCTTCTTATTACGAAACGGATTTGAAGCCATGTAATTTGGAAAATGACATTTTTGCAGGCATCAAACCAAGGGAAGAAATCCAAGAAATGCTTAACGTTTTCAGTCAAACATTACCTGAAGCCAGTGCTTTCTTGATGCCATCATTGTTACCAACATAACCTTTTACAGAATTCTTTTATGAGGGTAACAATCACCACACTAACTCATTTGCAAGGTTTAAGGTGCCAAGCTGCCAGATACATGAAACTGGCTGAGCAGAAAAGAGAGCACAGAAAGTACTGCAGAAGTTCTCAGTTATCCCTAAGAAGCCTGCGTTCTCTAGTCATACTTTATTTATCTCACATTTTACTCTCTGCAACCACTGATATGAGTCATGCCTGAAGTTTTCTGGTTTCTAAAAATGCCACAACTATACACTTTAAGTCCACAGCTAATTATTCTTAAGTTTCTCTAAGGATACTTTAAAGGGAGGGTTCAAAAAATGCATTCATATGGGTGAAGAGACAGCTTGCCTGGGCAAGTACCAAAAGCAAAAGCTAAGATTTCATTTAAGTAGGGAGAGGAAGATGGAGGGGTAGCTAATCTTGCCTATTGGCAAAGTCAGCCTTTCAAATGCAAACCATGTGCAACCAACTTCACTGCTGTCTTCTCAAGTCTGCAGTGACTCCCTAAATACCTTAAGTGCTCCTCCTCCCTCTTGAAGGAAAAAAACAGCAGCAAAAAAACCTTTAACAGAGCCATGGCAAAATAAAGCAGGGTAACTTTTTCTAGGATCTCTTCCTACACCAGCTAAACTTATTTTAGATTGCAATTTGGATGTGTTTGTGACAGATACATAAAGTAAACAGAGACAGAAAGACTCATGGAAGGAAAGAAAATCAGGAGTTGGGGAGCCAGCCAACAAACATGAAAGGTTCCATGAATTAAAAATACATAGTAGACAGAAAATGGTTTGCGCCACTAAATGGTAGGTGCAGTTGAAAACACTGTTTCTACTCTTGATACTTAAAAGATACTGTACTCCTTTATGTATCTGCAGGGGGGGAAGAGAAAAACAAAACAAAACTCCAGCACCCTTCAGGGATTAAACTTTATGGAAGAATGGTTTTGTATTTTATAAATGAACAAAGAAAAATAGAAAAATAAAAGTAAACCAATCAACTACAAAAAAACCAAAAACCAAAACAAAACAAAAAACCAAAACCAAGCACACACACAAAAAAGAACCCAAACAAAAAACCCCACCTAAACAAACAAAAACAAAGCCACAAAAAAAACACTTACCCATCTTTTGTCTGATCCACCACACCTGCAAGGAGCTGTACAGTGCTTGCATTAGGCAAACCATCTCCAATTATCTTCAGGTATCGTGTGACAAAGTCATGAGGAGACATGAAGAATTCTCCATTCTTCTCCACACTTGCATACTGTTAAATAAATAGAGTATTTAGTGACTCAATACATCCTTCTCTAGGCATTTATTACCACCACCCATGGTTTCCAGTCAGCAGGAGGCCCATGTTACAGCAGATGACAGTTCTGCTCCAAAGAACCTACAACCTAGACCCAAACAAGGTCTAGAAAAACAGGGAAATACTCAGGCAGCTGAAGACTTGGCTTCCTAGCCAAAGAATCACAAATATATGATTTTCTGGTTATCACATCAACAATTTCTCCATGGAAGACAAGAAATGCTCCAGTACTGAATACTTTTTTGGAAGTAGAACAAGAAGCACACACACATTTGCAAGCATTGTATGCGGCATCTCTGGCCCACTGAAACTCTGACATCAATAGGATAGTCTGGCATATCTTATTTATCTGAAATGACTCCTTTGTGTGGTCACTCTACTCCAGGATGAGAAGACAGGATTACAGCCGCGAAATGCCAGCGGAGCAAATGATCCCACAAGAGTGTCCACCTGGGGGTGCTGTTTTGAAGAACTCCACCTCACCACCTCCAGCCACAGCTGGTCCCTAAGGAAAGGAGAATCTACAGATACTCCTCTGTGGTTGCAGTGCTGAAAGGAAGCCAACGAATAGAATTTACAGAGAAATTTAAAGAAAACAAGAACAGTTCAGCACACTAAGAAAAAAGAAATGAGGTCTAACACCTTACCAAACACCGCTGGCATAAATTACTCCTGCTTTACACCACAGTTACTGGCATACTACTCCAGAAAACAGCTATTGACAGACTCAAGCATATTTACTCCAAAGGGAAAGCTTCAGTAACATATTACAAATAAAAGTAATACTAACACTTTTGAAGATAATATCTAAATAAATAAAATTCCCTTGGTTACCACCCCTACACTGATTCCTAGCTCATCCCCCAAATTTCAAAGCCCTCATTTTCTGCAAAAGGTTAAATTTGAAAACAACCCTAAAAATGTATTTCTAGTAAAGAAAAAGGATAAGGGCAATAACTAAAAGGAAAAAAATGAAGAGGCATTTGCAGAACCATGTGTTAGCTTTAAAGGAAACAGGTCTGTCTTGGGATAACAAATGTGCACTGAGAACAGGAAAGAAACTGCTAATTTCTCTTTTCTTTTTTTTTAAGGCAATGTAGGATGATAAACCATTGTTGCAGCTCCCCACAGAGCATTATCCACAGTAAAGTAATAAATAAATTAGATGCCTATTGCTATTTTGTAGTGTACTTCAAAGACATGTTTTCTTTCACATTACTATGGCTCTGCTAAGGGACGAAAACTGCCAGTTTTCATTTCTTACCAGTGCCTGCAGCATACCGTTATACCTGCTGTAGGCATATAACTCTCAGAGGGATGCCAAAGTGTAACAGTAAGTAGATTATTTTCTTCTAGTGCTATATAAATACCATTTTCAGGTACAACAATATCTTCAAGAAACAAGGCTTCAGAGATTCAAGCCCAAACAAAACATAACTTGCTTTGGCATCTATATATTGGTTAGCGCTTAAGGATTCCTGTTAAGACACTGTAACACAAGCTTTCTAGTTTCTACACTGCAAGGAATTTGGAATTGTATACTTTTAAAAGAACTAAAAGATCAATTGATTTCAATGTAATCATTTGCAGAAAGACAGAATCCTTCAGAATCCCAGCCTTAGAAACTTTTAACACAGCTGCTATTGAGAAACAAATCAAATAAGTCAGACAGCCCATGCTTCTATATTTCATTTTTTTCATCCAGGCTAACCCCCTGCTAGGGCACTCAATAACAGAAAACAGCACAAGGTTTCAGGTCCCCCTGTTTCTTACCATTGTGATTTACTCGAGTGTATTTGAAATCCAATCACGTACTCTATACTACCTATAGAAAATGACCTTGAAAAATGTCAGCTTGATCACTTTGACTAAAATCTAATCTCTTAGGGGCTATGGTAGAAGACTTAGAAAAAGTAGAGGTACTCCGGGAAATTATCATAACAAAAAGAAAAAAAAACATCAATTCTATTGGGTTTGGAGGAAAAACATTTAAAAATTGGTTCTTTACAATTTTATTTTTCCTCACTTTGGCAATTACACCCACAGAGAATTTTATATTACTATTGTATACAATAGCACTTAATGGCTTTTTGGTAACTTATTTACATACATTTTAGATAGTCAAGTAATAACAAGTTCAATCCCATTTAAAGTAAGATTTGCAAACATTTTATCAGGGGTTTGATATATGAAATATGCTAAAAGTTGACTGCAATCAACTGTATTTAAATGGATTGTTTCATACTTATTTCCACACTGTGGGTATCACTCCTTCATGGTGATCGTATTTTTTAATTCTTAATTAAAGTAGAAGTAATGGTTGTCCAGTTATCCTGTAAGTGAAGATCCCACTATCTGCAGAAGCAACTATATTGGCCTTACCACTTAAAATCATCTGAAGCAGCTTAATTAACACTCTGGCTATCATTTATCTGTAGAGCATGAAACAACATACTACATTCCCTCATCTTTTTTCATTCCCACTAGCAAGTGGCACAACAATACTGTATTACACTGAACAAAATATTTAGCTCGTATTTTATTACTCCACATTACTAAGACCCCCTCTTTTCAGTGAAAGGGGAAGCAGAAAAGGAAGAAAAATAAGCCAGAGGTGGTATTTAGCATGCTCAAGTAAGATCCATTCAATCCACCAAAACAGTAAGGTGCTACAACCTTCAGAAATGCCCACAGGCAGGTAGGAAACAATTTTCACACTATTCTCAGCAAACCAATTCCCCCACCCCCACCCCCACTCCAAATGAGCATCACCTCATATTGCAGAAGGGACCGGGCTGCTCTCTAGTGTGTTTATTTCTTCCCTCAATGCTACCGTCTTCTCAGGTCAGTGGTCTACTCCCTGTGTGTCTTTTCTGCTGCCCTGCTCCTGCTCTTTAAACATACATCTCTGTAAATCACATAACCCATTCTCTTTCAATAGTCTTTTTGCTCTCCTGACAGACAGAAGATTCCAGGACTTAATAAGTTAAATCATGGCTTTCTCAACTAAAAATCTGATTTCAGAGCTATAAATACTGACAGTATATGATAAAACTATAAATACTGGCAATATACATTTTGACACCTACACATATTGTTAAGAATAGCTCATAAGGGACAATGGAAAACATAGCGAGAAGTACATGGAGAGTGGGGCATGATACCGGAGAGAGTGAAGGTGGAGGGAAGAACTTGGAAATGTATGAGCTGTCTTAGGCACTCAACACCTTCATAAAAATAATTCAGATACAAGAGTTCCCTTCAGCACTGTGGCACCTACCTCGTATACATTATTCAGAACCACCTATTTCTGTAGTCTTTTTTTCATATCAGAATACCAAGCTAATACAGACACTGTACTAATAAATCTTAGGAAGGCTAGGAATAGAATTCAAACTGGCCTTGAACACTTCTAGGGATGGGGCATCCACAACTTCTCTGGGCAACCTGTTCTAGGGTATCATCACCCTCACAGTAAGAGTTTCTTCCTAAGATCTAATCTAAACCTACTCTACTTCTGTTTAAAGTTATTCCCCCTCGTTCTCTCACTACACATCCTTGTAAAATGGCACTCTCTCCATTACTTGCATGTGCCCTTCAGGTACTGGAAGGGCGCAGTAAGGTCTCCCTGGAGTCTCCTCCAGGTTGAACGATCGGTCTGTCTTCATAGGAGAGCTGCTCCAACCCTCTGAGCATCTTTGTGACCCTGCTCTGGACTCACATCAACAGGTTCATATCCTTCTTATGTTGGAGGCCCCAGAGCTGGATGCAGTGCTCCAGGTGGGGTCTCACAGGAATGGAGTAGAGTTGGACAATCACCTCCCAATTTCCAGCAAAATACTAAAGCACACTTTCCTCAAGTACACAAGCAAGTACATGAGTAATTTCTTTACTTGCATACTTGTACAACAGGCCAACACAGAAAGAACTTTAGTTATGTAATAAATACGGCCAGCACTTCACAAGGGGATCTTCCCAATACTTCTACAAATTAGAGAAGCAGAGATAAGCCTAAAGAAAGAAAGGAAACAAGGACAGAAGAAGAAAGTTTACCAAATGGTCTAACAGCAAGGAGTCTACATGAACATTTTTCCATGTGTAGGAACAATACTGAAACTCCCACCACATTCTCTGAACAATGAGCGTTTTTTCTAAGATAGCAATACTTCTTCTGAGTCAATACAATAATCACTCAGGAGTGTATGTGGCTTCTTGGTGAGTATTGTTCAATTCTGATAATGGTATTTAAGTCTAACATGGTAATAATACAGTGAATGATTAACGGTTGAAAAAAATATCAAGAGTTGTATGCTGCAATAATGGAGCAAAAGATAAGAAAAATTTAAGCAGAAAGAGTAAAATATTTACTTTACACATACCTTCAAAAATATTGTTTTCAACTCAGCTGGATCAGCTCTCTTGGTTAGAGCTACCTACAAGTAAATACAATTACATTAATATGCATAATTTATATAAAAGATGTCAAAGTGTCATTTAAAAAGAACTCAAACAACAGAATGAGTGAGAAAAATAAATGTTCACCTTACATAAATTAGGTACTGCTTTAGCTGGCCACACTCATTTTATTAATTTCACACTTATATAAAGATATTCAGGATTTTTGTTCTGCTTTCCTTATGCAATCCTGCAATCCTTAAACAAGCACACATTAACAAGTCATAAAGACATTCAAGGATCAAATCTTTACAACATACCTCTCTGCTGGGATTCAGCATTACACCATCTTTACCATATGGATTTTTACACTTCTAGCACCTTTCACCTAAGGATTTCAGAGTACCATACACAGCCCACAGCTGATAAACGGCAAGAATAAAATACTCTTATAAACTTTTCCAAGAAAGCAGCTCCATAAAAGACTGAATTTCAATGTAATAATTTGGTTTATTACTTCAAATATTTTAAATTTACAGTGTAGATTTTTCTGATGAGGTGAATTCAGAAAACAGAGTATCTGGATTTTGTGCAGATCAGAAAACTAGCCAGTTCCAACTAAAATCTGAGTTACATTTCCACACAAACCCAAAGTAATTAGACTTTTTTTTTCCCAAAACTCTGAATCAAAAAATATTCAACTCACTATGGAGTAAGTCCATCAGTATTATCATGGTTGACATATCATATAATCCATTTGCTGCTTTTGGTAGTAAGTGGATTCATCCCCTCAGTCTGTGCCTGCTATAGAGCTTCCCTTTCCTTCTTCAGGATACTTTGATAAAACCTTGCTTGTCAACATAATAACCATCACCGGATAAGTCAGTACAGAACATCAATCTATTTCTAATAAAAAATAAATTACTTTGTAAGCAGACCTGGATTTTCAAAAAACTTGGGAAAACATCTCTGTAATGGGGAAAAAACAGCCAAAGGGCAAGACATAAAATCTTACCCTCACCTAAGAATTAGACATCAGAAACATTTTCAGTAAAACACTATCTCCCTTCCTGACTCTGACTTAAGAGAAATGTAGACCATAAAGGCAAATGTGACCGCGAGTGCATTTTTAGTGTCAGTCTGTACAACAGCATTTACATCCTCACATGTATATTTAATAAAGAATCTTTAGTAAGCTTTTCCTCACTCTAAATGCCTTATTTAAAAATCAAAGAAAAAGACAACAATAAAGTCCCAAGACCACCAAAACCCAGAGTATTTTTTTAAAAAAGTGTGATTAAAATTTCTTATAAAATTTTAGAGGGTTTTTTTAAAAGGGAAAAACCACACCTGAAGTTATGCTAGGACTCAACTGACAAAGTCCACAGCTGGAGTCCCAATTCTGTGCTTGCACAGAAGTCTGCGTGAAAGCACTTGCAAAAAATCAAAGTGTAATTGTGAAGTTGGGAATATAAAAATGTGTATTTTCTAAAGTGCAAGCTGTCTTAGATATAATCACTGTAAGCAAAGATTTTATTTAACTCCATTTGTAAAAATCTGTTAGTCTAGAGCAATTGGGAATTTTGCGGAAAGAAAAAATAAACATCTCTATACTGCTTGAGTCCAGAATCTTGCCATAGTATAGGCAAACAAATGACACTTCAAACACTTATGACCATTAAACATAAATCAGTATCACACTTCATCTGCCTTAAAGTTCAAATTTTATACTGTCACAGAAATCTAAGCCTAAAGAATCCAGGAGTGAAAGAAAAACAAAGGAAAAAGTACATGCTGATAGCTGACCTTACACTCATTTTCCTTTGACATTAACAATCTTGAGAAACTTGGGAGATGTGCTCACATCTGGCAGCCCAGTTGTCATTTTTCAGCCCCCTTTTGATTATTGGGGAATTTGGGTGGTATTTTTTTACACTTAGTTTCTTCAAACCATAAGCTGAAGTTGGCTGGGTCAATAAATACACAGAAGCACTGTAGACTGGCAGTTCAACACTGGCTGCAGACCATGGCTTTCCTCCATTTCCCACAGTCTACTTCCACATTCTTCCATTTCCCAGCAAACAGGAGAGGAAAGGCATGGTTAACACCATGTTAATTGGTACATCAATGTGTCATCCACCAACATCCATTTTGAAAAGTGTATCTGACCCCAGTTAAGGAAAAGAGCCTCTATTAAGTTACATTAGAGCTTCAGGAGGACTGATGCTAATGCAGCCATACCAGTGCTAAGAGAAGTATTTAATTCAGCTTTTCATCCATACCCAGCTATGGGCAAGGCTGAAGCTGCACGCACAGACACAAAAACTGATCCTGATGACAGTTGTTACTAGCAGATTTCCACTTTGGAAAAGGTCAAAATATCACTTTCCATACCATTCTGTAAATTGTTCCCAGTTATGTCAGCAGCTGAAGGTGGGCTAAGTAACCTGATGCCAACAGGACTGCAAGCCGACAGGTAGCATGCCTGATGAAAAGCGACCCACAGACAAAAGCTGCTTCTCTTCCAGTCAACTCAGGTAATATTTACTGACTCTCACATAACAGGGCTTAGGTAATGTGTTTTGTTACTGGAAAGATTTCTCCATTTTACTTCATCTTCTCTCCACAAAGATAAAACCAGCTATGAAGTGGCAGGCCTAACATCTCTCTAGTTGCATGAGGAGGCATTTGATAAAGCAGATCTGAGGGAAATAATGTTTGTTACTGCTCTTTACAAGGAAGTTCTGTGTAATAGACACTAACACTTAAAACAGCAACTTTATTAAGTGAGGTTCACTGAAGAAAGCTCTTCAACAAGCAACATCTATCATTAAAAAAAAACCTAGGAGACAACAGGGAGTACAGAAACTAAAGTGCAGGATTATAACCAAGTTAGAACATTCTACAGGAAAGACTGGGATAATGTACAGAAAATGTTAGTGGGGACTTTTATTCCTAAGGTAGACACCTGAAGGTCTTTACCAACATACTATGTGTACGTGTGGTATAATGTGTATAAAGAACCAGACAAAATAGGCAATATAAGAATTGAACTTAAAAATGCTGAATCTCTCCCATTAGCAGTAACATTCAGTAAAGGGAGTCACAGGGTTCACAGAGAAAGAGAAAGCTCTGTGAGATACAGTAATGCACAGACTGAATTGCATGTTGGAACTCTTCATATCCTTGGACTTCCTTGCACCTTGATCTTAATTTTCTCCAGCAGATCTCTTTTCTCCTCATTGACTTAGGCTCAGTTTACACAGACATGCATTTTCAGTCTCACTTCCATAATCAAAACCAAAAATTTTCCCAGAAAAATATAACTGCACAACAACACAAGAAAACAGAATCCACTGAGAATCAAAGAAAACTGTATTACATTTCCAATCAACTGTATTTATATATTTGTCATTCATAAGGTAGAAGAAACAGGTTGTCAAAGAGTATATGACATCAAAAGACACAAAGGACTAATAAAGTAGCGAGTGTGTTACACCCAGTAAGGAACAACAACACGGATGGGCAAGAGAGGAAAAGGGCAGTAGGAAAACCAGCATTAATGGCAATATAGCAATAACCTGATGGTAAAAATATAACATTCAACCTTCTCACCATTATGGCAAAGATAACTTTAGTAGCCACAATTTGGAGAGAGTCAAAAGGTGACTGGGATCCAGGAATACTTGGAATAGCTACAATATTACAGAAAGTTTATTGAGACAACAGCAAGTCCTAACAAAAGATAAAGAGATCAACATCTCTTACATTGTTCCTTTCTCTTGGTTTAATCCGAATAGAATTCAAGTTGAAGGAGAAAGTTAATGGAGGCAAATATGTCCCACTCCAACTCCTTATCTTTAAAACCTCCTGACATCAAGCAGGTAAGATGATGGAGAGCAGTCCTTCTCCAAGCAGAGAGACAGAGCTGTGGCAGCGCTGCCTTGCTGGTGGACAGTGGTGAGCTCAGTCTGTTTAGTTCTAGAGAACATCATCTATAGGCACATACAGAGATGTCTGATGAAAAGCCCAACAAGTAATCACAAGCTCTAGCAGCCCATGTTGAAATAAGGATTATTTTTCTGAAGTTCATTCATTCTTAAACACAACTAAAGAACACAATGTATTTCACACCACTAAAAGACCACAAATCAAGATTGAAACCTCATGTCTTTTAGAGGTGTTCTTTAGATTTATCACAAGTTATTGAGTCCACCTGGAAGATTCAAATGCATGTGGCCCAGTTCATGTAAGAGGTCACATTAGATAGTCATAATGTTTCCTTCTGGCTACAAGTATACATATACACTTCACCTGTGCAGCTCCAAAGGAGATCAAACCAGGGTTTGACCTTACCTTTTTGTTTAAATGCATGACTGGAATACTGGAAACCAGTTAAAGTGCGGTTCCTGGCCAAGTTTGAATTCAGACCAGAAACCTACTAATACTGTTTAAGAATTATGCTAAAACAACACTCCAGTTTTTAATTCAGTACAACTAACTAGCTTGCTTAGATGAAAATCACCTTTCTTCCATACTTGCACTAATACTACCACAGACATACATAATCATTTTTCTAACCTAATAAGTCCCCTTCGTCACTTTTCATCATCACACCCACATCCGAGGTTACAAGTGTTCTCCATCAACATCTGTCCAGGGCACTGTCCTCTGTTTCAGCTTCCCCAGTAAGTATTTTTTATTAGTCCAACATGCATATTCTTCTCTCAGCAAAAGGACTGCCATTCCTTCTGCAGTAAAAGAACTTGACTGCGATCTGCAATGGAAAGAGAATGCAGAATATGGCATTGCAGGGAAAGTTTGAAGCAAGATGTGGGCCAGCTCACCAAGCAGAGAAACAGAGAACCAGACAACTACAAGGAGAGCTGGCACTGAATGCAGATCAAAAACCTTCTTGCTGGAGCTCCCAAATAGTAAACTGAGCATTTGTCCCAAGCAAATACAGTCAGATGGCAGTTGGCATAACTACCAAAAGGCTTAGGGGAAGAAGGACTGTAAGAGAAGCTGATAACTATCA